CCAAACAAAACAAAACAATAACAACAACAAAAACAAAAAACACGTTTCCCAAAAAACAATAATCAAAACAGCAACTACAAAAGCTAAAAAGAAACCCAACAAAAAAACAAAAATAAAGCAACAACATCAACATCACAAGAAATAAAAATAAAACAAAACAGAACAGAGTCAACATGAATAAGACTATAGTGCGGTTAAAATTTCGTCGGACAACTTATTGTCAAATATTTCCTCAATTGTCGAACATAAAGTCTGCGGCTTTTGCACAATGAGTTGTACCAATTTGTCTTAACAGATCCATATTTTTGTAAACACCTGTTAGGTGTATTCTAGAAAATATTTTAAGGGATAGTGGGGCACCTAAAAATGGTGTTTTGGGGTGAAATTATGAAAACTGGAGCCATCACTTATTATAATTATTTCCTGGACAATTCCTGAACAATGTCCAAAAACGTATGTACCCGTTGCTGTACCCTAAGGTAGTGTTGGAAAGGATTTTAGAAGAAAGGAAGAGACTAAGAAAATTATGATTGTCAGTCTTTGTCTCCAAATGCATTGTTTTCACCGTTAATAATATGCTTCAGTTTTAGTAGGAAATCCCGATTGTATTTCTGCTGTTTTAATATTATCAAGTAGTTGCCATATTACTATGATTCAAAATAATATGTTTCGAAGATTTTTACTGGAAAGAGAACTATTTTGGCCTTTTCTGATCTTTATCGGCCGTTTTTCCCAAGACGCTTTTTTTCCACACTTCATCCATTTTTTCTGCCCTGTTTCTTTTCCGATTATAATGTAACTTTCACAGGATGTCAACAACACCTAGTCTTAAAAATTGTCAAGAGAAATTATTATTGCTTTTTGTAGCTTTTGTTAAATGATCCCAGAAGGCTTGATTGTTTCGAGGATTTGTTCCACATATCCAAAAACCGAGTTTTTAGTGCAATAAATGAAATCTAAAGCATAATCAAAAATTCCTTTTGACAATCTTTATATCTGAACCTTTTCTACGTAAATGCCCAATTAAAAGTGTATATAGAAGAATAGGAACAGCACAGTTTGTTAGTTTCGCTTTTATTGCTTTTCACACAAGTAGGGTTACTCTGTTCGCAAAGTCCGCACTTTTTCAAAGAAGATGCCACCGGAATTTGAGGACACTTTTTTAAATGGCTCAAAGAGAGGAGTGAACTATCTTGTTTTTAACGACCTTTGCTAATGATCATAGTATCGATTCTAAATGTTTTGTCGTCCTTTTGAACCACGTTTCGGAGTTAGAAATGAAAGGTTGAACAAAAAATGGAATGAGAAAAACTCATAGAAGAAGTATTTCAATACCAGTACAAGTTTATTTACGACAAGAGTAACCCCCAAAAAGCACAGTTACAAGAACTACAACAATGGTCAAAACAGCAGGGAAATTACTAGGTAATTCTCCTAAGAAACAAAAAAGCAACAACCCCCCCCCAAAAAAAAAGGAGAAAAAAAGAAAAAAAGAAAAACAAACAAACAAAAAACAGAAAAAGACAAAAAAACAACAACAAAGGAGAGATAAGGACGATACAGGTTTGATAGGAAAAAAGGTATAAACATCATCAGAGCATCTGCCCCCCCCCCAAAACACAAAACCCCCCAAAAACGAAACCAAAACCAAAACCCAAAGCACAACAAAGATATAATTGATTGTTCATGTAAAGGGTTGTATGCTCATTTTGCCAAAAATCCTTATAATATTATATACAGTATTCCAGACATGGAACCTTTTC